CTGCACTCCAGTCTGGGCGATAGGGTGAGACTCCAGCTCAAAAAAAAAAAAAAAAGATGTGCAAATTACTCAAAATCTCTGACTTCATTTTCCTAATCTTTAAAACGAGTATAATATCAATGTCCTAGAGCTTTTACAAAAATTAAATGAGTGACTATGCTTTCTAAATAGCAGTTCCCTCAACCTGACTTTGTTTACCTTTGTCTATATTTTAGTGATACAACCTAAAAAGATGAAAATGGCATACTGGAAATAAACAGTATGGAATATTTTGAGTACTGTACTGTAATTATGTAAGTAAATGGAAAAAGTGCAGGGAGGATATGGATGTCTTGCTTTTCTTCAGCAGAGCTGCATTTAACATAAAGGGGAGTCATTTTATTGAATAATAAAAGCCTGACAATCACTGTGATTGGCGGACAGCCATTACTGCAGTGTAATTCTAAACAGCTTGTTTTTCAAAGTTCTTCTGGAATTACCCTTTAAAACTTCGCCCAGCCTGGCTGAAAGTTTCAAAACTCGTTTTTTAAAGTGAAATTTTTAACATTTGACTGCCACTGTAACGCAAGTGATGGAAAAAGATATGCATTAAAATTATATTTTCTTCTTAAATATTTAGAACCAGATGTGTGTTTTCAGAAGGAAGATAAATTGGGGAAATTTAGCAAAGTAAGGTTTAAAGGATAGATAAAATTCATTCTTGAGTTGTGCAAGAAAAAGGCCACACGCGAAGAGATCTTATTTTTTTTTTAATGAAGTCCAATGTGTTTTACAGTGGAAGCACAATATTTGATCTATATTTACCAGCTTAAAATCCTGTGCTTTCTGAATAGAACTCAAGGCTTCCAAAGTTACCAGACCCACTATTCATCTCTCTCAGTCACTACGTATTTCTAAACAAAAACTCTCACTGGAAAGTATGTGTAATAAGTGGGCGTACAGTTGGCAGCTTACCAAAATAAATATTTAGTGATATTTTAATGGCTATGTTAAATCTCTTTTGTTTAAATTGTGGATTAAAACTTCATTTGGCCAATGAATTCTGACCAGAATGTTTGAGAAACATATTTGCTATTGAAGGTCTCTGTAACGGATGTGTGTACTTAATTTTCAGAATGTCCAGGTTAGATCATCACTGATGGAGGTATTTTATCTTAAACGTCAACATTGGAAACACTGAGATAAAGATCAGGGGCAGGAATCTGTGAACTGCAGAACCCTGTTAATTGCTCATTCTCAAACACAGAGATGCCAATTAATTCCACACAACCAGATTCAAAGCAGCACAGGGAAATGGTCCTGATGTGAATAGTGCACAAAAATGAAGCAAAATAGATGCGTTCCAGCGCCCAGAAGCCTGATTCTTCAACAGGCAGTAATAGAAGCCCAACGCATCCGGCGATTGGCTGAAGGCATCTTTGTTCAGGCGCCAGGCATCCTAAAGCCGATGCTGGGTGGAGACATTCCTCTCTCACCCTCACCTTCAGAACGCTCTGCTCAGACACCTGGGCTCCCGCGGGGTGCGCTGCCGCCTCACTGCTGGTGCACGTCTCCCCCTCTCGACCGCCAGGCGCTGGCTTCCTCCCGGCGAGCACTCACACAATGGACTCACTTGTTTCCCTTGCACCTCTGCTTTGACTTCAGCCTCAGCCAACAACTTGAGCAAGAGTCAGGCAGGAGTCTCTGCCACGGAGCATGGAACCGCGGAGCCTTCCAGACGAGCCAGGAAGCACGCGCGCGCACACACAGACAAAACAAACAATGCCGGGTCCACGAACGCATACGTTATA